GGAAGTTTTCCTCTGAGCCTTAACGTGCCTCTCTTTCCTTCTTTGGTTTCCTTTGGCTTCTGGCGTTGCAGTCTCTCGCATGCCTGGGCATCCTTGCCGGCTCCTGCAGTGAGTGAAGGAAGGAGTGGAAATACTGCTGTGTGTGTGGGAGGATGTCCCCGTGCCGTGACCCGACAGCCAGGGCCGTTTCTTTCTCTTGACCCAATTCTCTGGTGGGAATTTATCTCCTCTTGTCTGAGGGCTGAGAGGCAGGCTGGGAGCCCAGTGGGGTGAGCTGTTGGTAATGACGCCGAGCATGCAGACTCACACGGAACCCTGATTTTCACCGCAGTGTGGCATCCTTCTTTTCAAATGTTTTTAGCAGCGTGAAAACATACTCCTCTCGTTGCAACTCCAGTCCCCTCCGGGTGGGTAGCACGGCGGATGGGTGGGGCTCAGAAGTCACCTGCTTGTTGCAAATGGGAGTCAAACCCAAGGAGGACCTCGTGGCCCTATGTTAAAATGTCAGTCTCAGGGTTTCACCTTTACCCTCGCCCTTGGAAACACCTGATGCCTGGATTTTAAGTATTTTAGAAATTCAGTTGCCAAAAAAAAAAAAAATGTGTGTGAGTATGTGTTTCCCCCCCGTTTACGGAAATTTTATGTCAGTTCCACTGTCTGCTTTCTGGATTCATCTGACGCTTTGCCATCATTTTCACGAGAAAGCGAGATGAACTCGTGCGTTCAAGCTGCTAAGCTTACCAGCTGCTAGGAATTCTCTACTTAAGTATCTCAGAATAAGGGGAACTGAATATGCCTGGGGATGCTGGAGGAGGGCGCCGGGAGGGCGTGCCCGCGGGCTGAGCGGCCCCCCTGGAAAGCGCGCTCCGCCCGCCCCCCGCGCGTTGGGAACTTTCAGGGGTGCAGCCTGGAGAGAACAAGGCGGCCTCGGACTGGAGAGTGACTGAACGCCGTTAAGGCCTCTAGACAAATTTCTAAGGTTCGGGGAGGGTGGGTGCGGGGACCTAGTCGTCCTGGGGCCGCGCAAGACCAGCCTCCTGCTCCCATCGGGCGTCAGCTCTTCCCAGGGTCTCGCCTCGCCCTCCGTGTAGGGGGGTCGGCTTGCCAGCTACCGGCTGGGGAAGAAATGGGCCTTGGACACGCGGCGTCCGCGGGGCAGACCCGCCGTGGCCGCCGCCCCTCCGTGTGGCGAGAGACGCGGGGAGACGCCCGCGGGTCTGCGCGCCTCCGACCTAGACGGGGACGCGGTGGTCCCCGGGGCAGGCCGACCCCTGCTCCGGGGATGCTCCCCGGGGGCTGGGCTCCAGTCAGAGGTTTAGAGACGGGCGCAGGGTCCCCTGGTCCCCCGCTGCGGGCGGGCGGGCGAGAGTGGAGCGGGAGGACGGGCTGGGGACCTGGGTGGCGGACGGAGGCCCAAGCCTGTGACAGAGCCTGCTTGGGACACCAAGAGGGGGAAGAGAAGACGTGGGGGTTGACAGGTGAAGGATGACACCCCCTCGCCGTCCAACCCCTCATACAAGGGAAAACCAAGGCATCACACCGGCGGCCCCAGACGGCCGGGCAGCCCCGGTTCACGCAGCGGTCTTCACGAGAGGATGTGGGACCGCCAGGCTTACTGGCAGAGCTGCCGAGTTCCAGCAAAAGGCCAGAGAAAGCGTCCGGAGAGGTTCTTGGGGCTCTGGGATGGGGAGACGGGTCGTGAGGACATTTCTGTGACCGGCAGCAGGCAGAGGACGTGAGCATCACCGCACCTCCTGCCCTCCAGCGGCGTTGGGGGGTTCAAGGTCCTCATTCCCTTATAAATCGGATTATTCCAGCTACTGGGAGCCTTGGCACAACGAGGAGGCGCTCCTGGGGCACAGGGACCCTGGACATCTATAGAGGAGGTGCAGCAGATTCTTAGGGAGTTGGGAATGAGACAGGCGCCCTTCGCCCTGTCTTTGAAGGAGGTACTCAGGCCACGCTCACTGCCGGAACGAAAGCCAGGATACCCCTGTGAACTCCAGCTCCAGGCATGGGGTGGGGAACCCACGCGGAGCCCAGCTCTGGGACAGGGCGCTTATGATGCTGTGGGGAACCTGAGGAATTCTGGGAATAAGACCCGAGAGAGACAGAAAAGGAGCTTGAAAAGTGAAAAGGTGATCCCAACGGCTGGTTAAGGGTCCAGTGAAAATCACCCAGAAACAAATGTGGTTTGACCTCCTTGCTGCCAGGGCCCCACCCGAAAATGTAGAGCGGCCTGTGGGAAGCCTTAAGCCTGAGCAATGGGTCACCTGCCCCACCTGCCCCTACCACCCCTGACACCCACCTGCCCCAGCAGAGGCCTCAGGGATGCAGTCCTGCTTGGAGTGGGCGCCTCTCACACCCCAGGTATGACATGCAAGCCAAGAGCGCCTCCAAGTGAGGGGCATCGGGGGTGACGGGCGGCCTCACGTTGAGCTCACTATTCACTGGTTCCCCTGATCCCCAGAAATCAACAACAGGTGACCAGGTGACAGCTCTGGTCGATACAGGGGCCAAATATGTACATGGTAATTGTCAGAAGTGTTCTGGCCCCATCAGCACTGTTGAAGGCGATGGAGGGCAGCTGTGGTCAGAAAGATGGGCGTTCTCCCCACAGACGACAGGTGTGAATCTCTGTAGTACCCGGGAGCGTACATACTGTGTTGCCCCCTGGGCCGTGGGCCTGCTCTCACGGAGGAGCCTGGATTCAGCATCTGTTCAATCAGAGGAGGATGCAGGTGAAAGGCCTGAGAGGTCAACCCCCAGCCCAGAGCACTTAGTAGTTTAGTGCTTCAGATCACAGGTTCTTGGGAAAAAAACGGTTCCTTATTTTGGGAATGATCATCTTGATCTGTGTCTTCTCTGGTCGCCGAAGGAGCCATCTCCAGGCTAGTGTTAAGACCCCTTGCTGAGCGCTCAGGGCGCACTGAAAAGTGGAGGGCGAGTGTGAGATTGTAAGAGCCCGCCTGGAGGGGTGGGGTGTTGCAGGAGGGCCCCAGTTGGGCACAACAGCTGGTTTACCCCGGAGCTGGCCCTGTCCCCTGCCCCTGCGGTGTACCGCCAGACATGCCGCATGGGAGCCGGCTTCGAGGATGCAGACGTGAGAGAGATCAGGTGGTGGTGAGCCTGTCGAGTGAACAGTGACAAAACTGTGTTAAGGTTTCTTTATACACTTTTAAGATTCTGGCGCGCGTGCGGGGAGCTGCTTGTCTTTCGGTGCCGAAGACAAGCTTCCAGTGTAAATCCCCTGCGTGTTAAACCTGCCACCTGCCCATGCAGGGCGTCTGTGCATCTCCTGTCGCTTGCCCTCGGCGGGGGGAGGTGGGTATGGCAATCAGAGATAGCTCTGCATATTTGGCATTTACACAAGAATATCTCCATGTTTCATGGCAAAATGTATTTCTGAAAAATGTATTTTAATCTAAAAATGATGTTTATGACTTGGTATTATCTAAATCAGTGTCAGATTTCTATTACTGCTCAGTACTCATCACTGGAAATGCAAGGCTGAGACAAAACATGGGTGTTGTATTTTAAAGTTTTTTAATTATTGAAAGCTTCCCACTCATAGCTGAGTTTGGGTAAAAAATTTCTAACTATGAAATCAATGTCAATTAGAAAAAATTCATAAGTTTTTGTTACTATTCATTATAGTATTCATAGTTCATACTATTCACCAATTCATACTATTCATTAATTCATAACATTGTGAACAATTTTTTAAAAATATAGAGGTATTAGTCAACTGATCTGGAAAATTTTTCCATAGATTTAACTACCTTTTTTTTTTTACTATTAAGCTCCATTTTTATTTTTTCAAAACAAATGGCTCCTTTATAAGCTATAAAGATGGACTGAAGGTAGATAATTTTTTTTGTAAGCATGATAGTAACTGTTTTAAACTAACAATTAAGACCTTTTATTTGCCTTGGAAAGGTTCTTAAGATAAAATTTCCTCAATGAAATTATTCATCTTTTGTTTTACCTAAATGGAAACTTTCAAAAATGTTCTTCTCTTTATTCTGTAGATGTATTATTTCCAAAAATTAATCAGATGAAAGGAGAATGGTATGGGATGATGAAAAGAATACTTTACATTATTTTGACTATTAAGACTGTGAAAATAAATTTCATTAATTTATTTTTGTTTTTTATTACCAAAATAAACACCATAAAAAGGAAGCAGCTTCAGCAATGTCCACAGAAATAATTTTCAAGGTGATGTTAGTATACATTGACTTTCACTAAAGCATTAAACATGTTGTGATTACCATTGTTGACTTGGTGGTAACTTCAGCTATAAGCGTAACCACTACCATAATTTAACAGATACAGATGGGAGGCAATATTTATTAATCACTAGGACCACAATTTTGATCTTAATAGAGCTGGTCCAAATCCTGACTTTGCCACTGTGGTTTAATTCAAGTTATCTTAGTTCTGGGCCTTCGTTTAATTGGCAGAAAAATGGAGGTTCCCAACCAAAGAGTCTCATAAAGACCAAACAATCTCCTACACACAGAGTGTCTAACACCGCACCTGGTACACACTGAGCATCCAGTCAGTGCTCATCTGGTCATCAGGGCATTCAAATATTCTTGATCAAAATGAGCGAAATTGTACAAATCACAAAAGTATTTCCATTTAATGCAAAATCGGTAGTGTTACTAGTGTTTACACTTTGGGCAGGTGAAAACAGCGAGGCATCTGAGCTCAGAGGAGGTCCGCTGAATGACTAAGGTCTCTGGATGAAAGATACCAGGAAATGGCAGGTGCTGTGTGTGACACCACCTGCCCTCACTTTAAAAGCAGAAAAAGGTTTTTTATAATGTGTATGAACCCAGTCGCTGGCAGTAGCCTTCTTTTCCGGTGTGCTGGGGAGAGTCACTTGCTCAGTGAGTGTTCTTTGATTGCCTGTTCTGTGCCTGGCTGTGTTCACCTGCCATGCAGATGGAAATACCTTCTTTTTATGGTCTGAATACTTTCCTTTTCCACAGACATTTCCACTGGGCCTGGGAGATGGGCAATTCTATGCATGGACAGATGGTTTGAGAAGAAAGGACTGGCATGACTATGAGAGCATTCAGAGAGAGGCTATGCGCTCAGGTATGGAGTTCAGTCTAAGCCAAAGTGCCGCTATGCTTACTGCAGTGTCTCCTTTGTCACTTCCAGGATCTCGAATTAGTGTTTCTCCTGCACCCAGTAAGGTATGTTTCCTGGGGAGACTGGAGGTCAACGCCGGGCAGAGCTGGAGTGAAAAAATAATGATGACTAGCCTTTACAATGTTAGCTGAAGAAGAGTTTTAGAAATTCACGTTTTAGAAATCTGTAGTTCTTTATATTTCCAAAATGCTTTTCCATGATGTCTGGGGGTGTCTTGGATTTACCAGTGGGACTTGACTTGGAAGACATGTGTCTTGAGCTTGAGTCACTCTTGAGGGCGGTGGTGTATCTAACTGGCTGTGCAAAGTAGGGAAGGGGTTCCCCGATTCCAGACCTCGGCAGGTGGATTACAGGAGCCGGGGACCGGAGGCTGGCGATACTCAGGCAAACGAACAGGCGGTGAAATGGAATCAAGGAAGTCAGCGTAGCAGAATTCTAGTCTTGGGCTAGTGACAGAGGAACCATTTGACTTCTTAGAAAAAGTAACAGGAAAAAATAAGTCCTTCTAGAAGGGCTGAGGTTGTTGGGAACATAGATTCAGAAGGGTGTAAAACCAGACACTGAGTGCAGGTGAATAATACGTAATAAGAAGCCCACAGTCTATTATTTAACCAGGAGTTTTGTTTTTTCCACAGTGAGGCTGTGGCAGAAATAGAGAAGCCACTGTTTGGTAAAGACACCTGAGCAGCCCTGACACAGTGCACTGCAGGTCAGATTAGCAGCAGAACTCTGACAAGTCGCAGGCTGCGGTCCTCCTGGTCAACCTTCCTTACATCCCGCCCCCTCGGGAAGGCAGGAGTGAGGGGGTTCAGACGGTTATGAAACTGCTCAGGGCTGTGACTGTTCTGAGCTCTGAGTCAGGTGTGCTTGACCTAATTATAGTCTTACGTTCTTATCTTTCATTCCTTTCCTTCAGATAAAGTTGCCCCCCCATCCACCACCACTTGTCTTAAGGATGTTCGCTGTTCCTCAGAGCATCAGCCTCTCCCAGGCTGCGTTGTCCCTCTGCCTTGGCCGTGACTCCATCCATAGTCACAAAAGTCAGCCCCTTGTCAGTGTCCTCACTTTTCCAGCCCTCTGATCTTTTCCCTCTATTTGCTTGATCAGCTGTATTAATCCCACCATCTGTTCCTCTTTTTAACCACAGGGTGCTGAAATTTTTTGGAGGTGTTCCCATCATTTAACCATAAGTTAATAATTAATAATATTTATTGAATAGATTTGTTTTTGTATGAGGGGCTTTACATATGTATTTTGTTTAAATGTCACAATGACTCTAGGTATCATAATCCCCAATTGGTGGAAAGAAAACGAACTGAGACTTAAAGAATCCTTGAACTATTTATTATCCATGGTCAAACAGCTAATAATTGCAGAGCAAGATTAAAAGCCAGGTCTTCTTATGCTGCATGGCATCCCGCCGTCAGACTGCACAGTGACACTTGGGCAACAGGATAGTGACAAGGGCACATGGGGGAGAGACACACACACCTGGGTCTATAGCCTGCCACTTCCATCCATGAACTGTGTCAAGTGTCTTTCTATTTGCAGAATTGCTGTAAGGATGAAAGATAATATCTCTAAAGTAATTGGCCAGTTATTTGGACATAGTATACACTCCACCGATGGTAACTGTAGTTACATTTCCATCCAGGTTACTTTCACTTCATCTGGTGTGTCTATCCGTTGCTTATGCCCATGAGTTTTGGATACAAAACCCTATTACTTCACATTTATTTCTGCTTCATACCACCCTTTCTGTTTCCTGTGTAAATATGCCTTTAATGTCCTCATTCATACTCGGGCTGAGAGAAGTTGGTGATATAAGTTTTCTAAAGCACAAGTTTTCTGGACAATTAAAAAGCTTTCAAATGTTAGTATGTATATGATTCACTGAAAGATACATCAAACGTGAAATAGACTATAATTCATCATTTTTTAAAAATACTGTGAAATATAGCAAAGGGACTGTGCATGCACAAACCAGACGTGCAGGTACAAAGTCAAGATAACATAAACATCTCTGTTCTCAATATCTACGCCAAGAAGGATCATTTGTGCTATTCTGTCTCCTCCAAGTCTTGACATTTGTGTTTGCTCTTACTTTTCCCATAATTTCTTGTCTCTAAACCAGTATTGTTACATTTTGCCTGTGTTTGGTCTTTATCTAAAAATTAATTCCTATCGTATGACTTCCTTCTTTCATTCAGAGTTATTTTTGAGATTCATCCATGTGAGTGTGTGCAAGTCCAGTTAACTCACTGTTCTTTGTTTCATCTTCTGCATTTTCCGCTTTGTGGATATTTTGAGAGTCCCTGGGTTTGGGTTCTATACGATTTGCCGTAAGTATTCTCGTGCACGGTTTTGGGATAGAGACAATATTTTCTTAGAGCACATATTTAATAATAGAATTTGCATGCCCAAGGGATGAACATTTCATTTGTATTATGTAGCGCATGACACACTGTTTTCTAAAGCTGATATTCCGATTTCACTCCAGCCAATAATGGAAGGAATTCCCAATGCTCTGCATTCTGTCAATACTTAATATTATTGTCTGACTTTTCACTTCTTCTCAGTTTGGTGGTAGGAGATGATCACTCATTGTCGCATAAATTTGCATTTGACTGCTATTAAAGTAGTTGATGTGTTATTAATACTTATGGACCATCTGTACCTTCTTTTTGGTAAAATTCCTACTCATTTCTATGTCCAGTTTTTAAAAATTTCTTTCTTTTCCTTATTGATCCACAGAGTACTCAATTTATTTGGAATAATATCCTTTGGTGGTTGTACATAGTAAAAATACCTTACGCCACATTTTGTGTATTTTTTTTAGAAAACTCTATTATCTAACGAATAGAGGTTCTTGTTTTGCTGTAGTCAGCTTTGCAAATAATTCTTAAAGGATGGGTCTTACTGATGTTCTCATCTTCATTTTTATATGATGTGAAGTAGGGTCCCCATATTTATTTAGTTATAGAAAGTTTCCATATTTGTGTGTTCTCTTTCTGATTTCTCAGTTATGGTATTGGAACGAATACCATCATATCTCATGGACCCTATATCTTTATAACAGTTGCTGGTACCTGGTAAGGTTCATTCTTTTCTTCCTCGTGAATATATTGTTATTCTTAACATTAGTTTCTTTAAGATTTTAGATTCCGCTTGTCAGACCTCACGGCCACATACACAGATACACGAAAATACTGGAAGTTTAGAATTTTGAGTCTATTTATGAGTTAAGAGATAATTGACATTTTTCAATATTGGATTGTTCAGTGTCCCGTGGTATATCAATCATCGCATTTATTTGCTGCTTGTTTGTTATCTTTAGGGATGTGCTTGTAATTTGCTTCTCAGACATTTTCAGTGTTAGTGCTAGAAAAGTTAACATTATATGAGTGTTGAGCATGTTACTGACTTTATCAAAATTCTGCATTATTTGTAGCTGGTATATAGACAGGTTAATAATTTGTTAACATCGATCTGAATTGAGAAAACTTTCTAAATCTTCTATGAATGATGATCATTTACCTGTAAGTTATTTTGAATTGTCAGTGTAGATGCTCATAATATCTGTAAGTAGTGACGGTGTTTAAAATTTTGTTTCCATCCTGGACCTTGTAAGTTTAGTTATTTTTGCTGTTTCCGCACCTGCCAGAAACTCTAGTGTCATACTCCGCAGTGGGGATCGGTGACTACTTTGACTCATTATGATTCTGACAATAGCAAATAAGATACTTGTATTAAGATTTTTATCTACTTAATGAAAATGTACTTTATCATGTTTACTAAACCTTCTGGGTTTTTTTCTGGCTTTCTGAGAGTTTGGGGTTTTTTCCCACCTCAATGAATGTTGATTTTAATCAAATTTTTTGTTTGCATCTATTGAAATAAGATTTCTCCTTTAATCTGTTTCTGAGCGTATCTATTGATTTCTAATAGGAATCAAATTTTGAAATTATGGACTAAACCAAAAAAATGTTTATTTACCACTGCATTTGGTTTGCTAATATTTGTTTAGCGTTTTCCAATCTTTTCTCAGGAGGGAATATCATTGGCCATGAATTTTTTTCTCGTCGAGTCCTTGTCGAGTTCTGGTAACAATGTAAGGATAGCTTCATAGAGGGACTGGCGTCATACTTCTCATATTTCTACTCTTTGTAATCGCTGGTTGCATATTAGAGTTATTTATTAACAGTCATGGAAATCTTGTGGGTGATGGGTGTCTAGACCTGGCCTTTTCTTGGAACAAGGGTTTTTCACTGCTGGGTTAAATGCTCATATTTATTAACACATTATTCACAATGTCCTCTTAAAGACTTTATAATATCTACCATGCTTAGATGTCACTTTTTCTTTCAAGTATCATTAAAAAAATCTTTTTCCTTAATCCAATACACTGGGAATTTGTCAAGTTTATTGATCATTTCAAAAACCAATTTTTGACATTTTTATCTTACCTATTGTATTTTTTCACTGATTTACATCCATCTAGTTATTATTTCTTTTCAGTCTTACTAAATTTTTCCTGAATTAAAAATAAAGATTTATAGCTCCTTAATTCTATTGTAGAATAAGCATTTACGGCTCTGAATATCCCGCCAAGCACCACTTTAAGTGCATCTCGCTGGTCTGAGGTTCAGTGTTTCATGTTTGTTATGTTTTAGTTGTATTATGCTCTAGTTTACGTTTTTAAATGTCTGTTCTATTTAATAAACGCTGAAATTACCTTTAAGAATGTGGAAGTCCACACGCTACCTCTATCTTTTAAAGTTTATTTTTCATTGAAGTATAAAAAATGTTTCAGGTGTACAGCCAAGTGATTCAGTTTTGTATTTATTTATTTGTTTATTTGAACAGTTTATTTATTTATATTCAGAGTCTTTTCCATTATAGCTTATTATAAGAAATTGAATAGTTCCCTGTGCTGTACAGTA